CACATATGCACCGAATTGCACACACACACGTCACAACGTAAACACCTAGAAACAGTGCAAAAGGGGTCATGCAAGATTATTCTCTCCCCTTCCTACTCCACATATCAAGAAGCGCTCAACACACTGACCCTTTCGACTCTCACTGACCATCACCACGACCTCATCTGCAAATTTGTTAAGAAGCTTCTACACCATCCTCGACACCGGCTCCTACTACCACCTGAGATCCCTAGTCCGAGAATTGCTGTTCGACACCACAACCGCATCCAGCCCATACGAGCACGTATTGATCGCTATAAGAACAGCCCAGTCCCAACCATTGTAAAAATTATCAACAACTCGTAATCAACCAGTGTGTTCACTCCCAGCCAATCTTACCTTTTGTACTGTCACTTTGTTGGAATGCCCTGTAGTATGACCTTCTCCCCACCGTGTTATTATAATATCATATTTGTATCACTTATGTTACTTGTATATTATTTGTCAATCAAGAGACCCATTCCCCAATTATGTGACTGTATACAGTATTTTCAGCCTTTTGGCTGCCATGTACTTTCAATAAACCGTTAATTATTATTATATTATTATTATTATTATTATTATTATTATTATTACATACACATATTACACACACACACACACACACACACACACACACACACACACACACACACACACACACATACACACACACATACACCGTTCCAACATCAATTCTTAGGACACCTTTACACTACTACTACCAATAATAATAATACTAATAATGATGATAATAATGATGATAATAATGATTTAATAATAATAATAATTTAATAATAATAGTAATTAATAATAATAATAATAATTTAATAATAATAGTAATAATAATAATAATAATAATAATAATTACAGTATAATAATAATAATAATAATAATAATAATTACAGTATAATAATAATAATAATAATAATAATAATAATTGCAATTATAATAATATTAATAATAATAATAATAATAATAATAATAATATTAATAATAATAATAATAATATTAATAAATAATAATTACAGTATAATAATAATAATAATAATAATAATAATAATAATAATAATAATAATTACAGTATAATAATAATAATAATATTAATAATAATAATAATAATAATAATAATAATAATAATTACAGTATAATAATAATAATAATAATAATAATAATAATAATAATAATAATTACAGTATAATAATAATAATAATAATAATAATTACAGTATAATAATAATAATAATAATAATAATAATAATAATTACAGTATAATAATAATAATAATAATAATAATTACAGTATAATAATAATAATAATAATGATAATAATAATAATTACAGTATAATAATAATATTAATAAAAATAATAATAATCTTATGAAACAGACCTGACAACAAACACTTCTCACCCACCGCCATTGCCTATCTGTCTTAACTATCCAACTACTGTCCTGAGGAAATTTGTGGTCACAGTGAACACAGCAACTAGCCAATCACAACACAGTCCCCGTCAATGTGTGTGTGTGTGTGTGTGTGGTGGTACCTGCGCTGTAACACCTTCCGGTCCAAGCTATTTCAAGTATGGCACGAATGCCAGCCTATCAAGGGCCTCGCCTGGCAGTCTTGGTCAGGAGTGTGTGCCACTGAGAACCGGGACACTTAGCCGAGGATTCATTCATTATGGAGTACAGTGTGTTTACAGGGTCCCAGTGTGTTTACAGGGTCCCAAGGTGTTTACAGGGTCCCAGTGTGTTTACAGGGTCCCATGGTGTTTACAGGGTCCCAGTGTGTTTACAGGGTCCCAAGGTGTTTACAGGGTCCCATGGTGTTTACAGGGTCCCAGTGTGTTTACAGGGTCCCAAGGTGTTTACAGGGTCCCAGGGTCCCGGGTGTTTACAGGTCCCAAGGTGTTTACAGGGTCCCATGGTGCTTTACAGGGTCCCAGTGTGTTTACAGGGTCCCAGTGTGTTTACAGGGTCCCAAGGTGTTTACAGGGTCCTGCAAGGTGTTTACAGGTCCCAAGGTGTTTACAGGTCCCAGTGTTACAGGGTCCCAGTGTGTTTACAGGGTCCCATGGTGTTTACAGGGTCCCATGGTGTTTACAGGTCCCATGGTGTTTACAGGGTCCTTAAGGTGTTTACAGGGTCCCATAAGCCATAGGGTCCCATGGTGTTTACGAGGGCCCCATGGTGTTTACGAGGGCCCCAGTGTGTTTACAGGGTCCCATGGTGTTTACAGGGTCCCAGTGTGTTTACGAGGGCCCCAGTGTGTTTACAGGGTCCCATGGTGTTTACAGGGTCCCAGTGTGTTTACAGGGTCCCAGTGTGTTTACAGGGTTCCATGGTGTTTACAGGGGTCCCAGTGTGTTTTACAGGGTCCCAGTGTGTTACACAGGGTCCCAGGCAGTGTTTACAGGGTCCTTAGTGTGTGTCACAGGGTCCCCAAGGTGTTTACAGGGTCCCAAGGTGTTTACAGGGTCCCATGGTGTTTACAGGGTCCTGTGTGTGTTTTACAGGGTCCCATGGTGTTTACAGGGTCCTAGTGTGTTTACAGGGTCCCAGTAAGCCGGCAGGGTCCCATGGTGTTTACAGGTCCCATGGTGTTTACAGGGTCCCATGGTGTTTGCATAGGTCCTGTGTGTTTACAGGTCCCATGGTGCTTACAGAATCCCAATGGTGTTTACAGGGTCCCATGAAAGCTATGTGTCCCATGGTGTTTACAGGGTCCTATGGTGCTTACAGGTCCTGCGCGGTGTTTACAGGGTCCCACGTGTTTACAGGGTCCCAATGTGTTTACAGGGTCTCATGGAGTTTACAGGGCCCCATGGTGTTTACGAGGGTCTCAGTAGGTTTACATGAGGGCCCCAGTGTGTTGTGTGGTGTCCATGGTGTTTAAGAGGGTCCCAATGTGTTTACAGGGTCCCATGGTGTTTACAGGGTCCCATGGTGTTTACGAGGGCCCCATGGTGTTTACGAGGGCCCCAGTGTGTTTACGAGGGTCCCAGTGTGTTTACAGGGTCCCATGGTGTTTACAGGGTCCCAGTTTGTTTACAGGGTCCGTGTGTTTACAGGGTTCCATGGTGTTTACAGTAGGGTTGCCATATGTGAACATTAAAAAAAGAGGACGTTCCCAAGACATCCTTCCCCCCACCCCCCGCCTGGCACACACTTTGGCGCTATGTAACCTTGATGCAGCCGTGACCGTTTTATGCTCTGGAAAAGCACAACAAATCGTAAGCACTAGCTGTGGCACCAAGCGACAAACCCACAACATAGACTAAGATCAAACACTGTCACTGTCGGTTAAAGACTGGCCAACCACCGGTCACCGTCATAGTTGTCAACACACGTAAATAATATAGCGAAAGTGGCTAGATTATGGTTGAAAATTGCGAAAATGCCTTAAATGCAGGACAAGAAAAACAAATGCTACAGTGTAAAAAATGGTATACTTTCAACATTTCATTTATGGCTGTAATAGCACTAAATACAAAAAAAATTATAATAATGCGCGTGGCTGAAGAACAAGGAAAAGCAGTACATGGCACTACAGGCTAGCCCAAAAACTGCTAGCAGCTAAGTTGACAACACTGTACACGTGACTTATTAGCTGACGAAAACTGAACGAGATCTCTAGTGTACTGTTTCCACCTCCCATTTCTCTCTCTCTCTCTCTCCCGTCATTACAGTTTCATATTTCTTTCCGTGGAGAAATGATGGAAGCTGAAATTCCGGACTTTTGAAGAATTTTAAAAATTACTTCCGGATGACGATTTCGAGACCTGAATGGAGGACATGTCCGGGAAAATACGGACGTATGGCAACCCTAGTTTACAGGGTCCCATGGTGTTTACAGGGTCTCATGGTGTTTACAGGGTCTCATGGTGTTTACAGGGTCCCATGGTGTTTACAGGGTCCCATGGTGTTTACAGGGTCCCATGGTGTTTAGGCCCCATGGTGTTTACAGGGTCCCATGGTACTTACAGGGTCCCATGGTGTTTACAGGGTCTTTATGGTAAGCTACAGAGTCCCATGGTGTTTAAGGCAAGGTCCCATGGTGTTTACAGGGTCCCATGGTGCTTAGACCTCATGGTGTTTAAGATGGTCCCATGAAGAGCAGAGTCCCATGGTGCTTACAGGTCCCATGGTGTTTACAGAGTCCCATGGTGTTTACAGGGTTCCTGGTGTATAAAGGGTCCCATGGTGCTTACAGGTCTCATGATGGTTACAGGGTCCCATGGTGTTTATAGGGTCCCATGGTGTTTACAGAGTCCCATGGTGTTTACAGGGTTCCATGGTGTTTACAGGGTCACCTTTGGTGTTTACAGGGTCCCATGGTGTTTACAGGGTCTCATGGTGTTTACAGGGTCCCCAGGAAGCTACAGGTCCCATGGTGTTTACAGGGTCCCATGGTGTTTACAGGGTCCCATGGTGTTTACAGGGTCCCATGGTGTTTACAGGGTCCCATGGATGTTTTTTAGGGTCCTTTTGCGTTTTCAGGTCCCGTGGTGCTTACAGGGTCCCATGGTGTTTACAGATTAGCGTGGTGGGTATTTAAGGTCATCTGATTAATAGAATTATAATTTCTTACCGTTTCGCTGCAACAAGAATGGCCTGGTGTAGTTAGGTTAGGTCTTGTGGTTAGGTTAGCTTTGGTGTGGTTAGGTTAGGTCTGGTGTAGTTAGGTTAGGTCTGGTGTGGTTAGGTCTTGTGGTTAGGTTAGGCCTGGTGTAGTTAGGTTAGGTCTTGTGGTTAGGTTAGCTTTGGTGTGGTGTGGTTAGGTTAGGTCTGGTGTGGTTAGGTTAGGTCTTGTGGTTAGGTTAGGTGTGGTTAGGTTAGGTCAGGAAGGGTTGAGGGGAATACTTTTTCTGGTGTCACTTTTGTTTTGAAGTTTAGTTGGCGTGTGTAAGTAACGCTGATGTTCATTCTTTCGTTATTCGTATTACTATGACGGTGTTACTTATTGTCACTGTTTGTTACAGACTGTTACACTGGATCCAGAGCAAGTTGCCGGACCTCCCCATCACCAACTTCACCAACGACTGGAATGATGGGCGTGCTGTGGGCGCTCTCGTGGATTCTGTCGCCGCTGGCCTCTGTCCTGACTGGCCTGACTGGGTGCCTGCAGACTCCCTCTCCAATGCTACTGAGGCCATGAACATTGCTGACAACTGGCTGGGTGTTCCACAGGTATGGCTGACTATGACAGGTGTTCAAAATGGTAAAATTATAGTTTCGATCATGCGGGGAATCTTAGGCATTTAACTACTGGACTCAGTAGTTTAGACTGTTCAAAGACACTTTTCTTCTATAGCGTTTCCGTCGGAAATTTAAAAACTTTTGAAAACCTGACTTGACATTTCCTTACCTTTAAAAATCATAAAAATCCTTAAATTATAAAAGTTTACCTTATTCTTGTTTTCGGTAATTAGTAGGTGATGGTCTTTTTAGATTTTAGTCTGTTAGTGATGTTATCGGTGTTCAGATGAGGGCTTCATAAACTCTAAAGTGATTCTTAAAATTTTTAGAAGTTAGGAAACGTTAGGTCACGTTTTCAAACGTTTTTATATTTATTTTTATTTTTAATTTTTTTATTTTTATTTATTTTTTTATTTTTTTACCCACATTTCCTCTCTACTTCAAAGCCCTGCCCACTTCAAACAGGCAATATTGTTGGTAATTTTTGGCATAAATGTGTCACTAACCTAACCTAACCTAACCTAACCTAATCTAACCTAACCTAACCTAACCTAACCTAACCTAACCTAACGTAACCTAACCTAACCTAACCTAAACATAACCTAAACATAACATAACCAAATAATATTAGGTTGGATGGTGTTAGGTGGGGCTGGTTTAGGTTAAGTTCGATTTGGTTAGGTTAGCTTAGCTTTGGTTTAATTTAGTTTAGGTTAGCTTAGCTTTGGTTTAATTTAGTTTAGGTTAGCTTAGCTTTGGTTTAATTTAGTTTAGGTTAGCTTTGGTTTAATTTAGTTTGGGTTAGTTTAGCTTTGGTTTAATTTAGTTTAGGTTAGCTTAGCTTTGGTTTAATTTAGTTTAGGTTAGCTTAGCTTTGGTTTAATTTAGTTTAGGTTAGCTTAGCTTTGGTTTAATTTAGTTTAGGTTAGGTTGACTTTATGTTAACTTAGGTATAATTGGTTTAGGTTTGTTTGATAGTTTAATATAGGTTAGTAGGTTTAAGTAAGGGTTATTATTATTATTATTATTATTATTATTATTATTATTATTGCATCATCACCATCATCACCACCATCATCACCATCACCACCACCACACCACCACCACCACCACCACCACCACCACCATACACCATTCACCACCACCACCACCATACACCATCACCATAACATTCTTTTTGGCTCTCAAGTTGATTACACCAGATGAGATGATCAACCTGAGCTGGACAGAGCAGTCTATGATGACTTACCTCTCCAGCACCCTAACTGTAAGCTGAAGAGCGGCGGCCCTCTCAGACCTGCACCAACGCTGGGAAGTAAGTCACAGAGATGTAGTAGGAGGATTTGTTGATGGAGAGAGATGTGCTAGTAGAGTGATTTGTTGATGGAGAGAGATGTGCTAGTAGAGTGATTTGTTGATGGAGAGAGATGTGCTAGTAGAGTGAGATGTTGTTGAGAGAGAGATGTGCTAGTAGAGTGAGATGTTGTTGAGAGAGAGATGTGCTAGTAGAGTGAGGATGTTGTTGAGAGAGAGATGTGCTAGTAGAGGATTTGTTGATGGAGAGAGATGCTAGTAGAGTGATTTGTTGATGGAGAGATGTGCTAGTAGAGGAGATGTTGTTGAGAGAGAGATGTGCTAGTAGAGTGATGTTGTTGAGAGAGAGATGTGCTAGTAGAGTGATTTGTTGATGGGAGAGATGTGCTAGTAGAGTGATTTGTTGATGGAGAGATGTGCTAGTAGAGTGAGATGTTGTTGAGAGAGATGTGCTAGTAGAGTGATTTGTTGATGGAGAGAGATGTGCTAGTAGAGTGAGATGTTGTTGAGAGAGATGTGCTAGTAGAGTGATTTGTTGATGGAGAGAGATGCTAGTAGAGTGAGATTTGTTGTTGAGAGATGTGCTAGTAGAGGAGATGTTATGGAGAGAGAGTGCAGTAGAGTGATTTGTTGATGGAGAGAGATGTGCTAGTAGAGTGATTTGTTGATGGAGAGAGATGTGCTAGTAGAGTGATTTGTTGATGGAGAGAGATGCTAGTAGAGTGATTGTTGATGGAGATGTGCTAGTAGAGTGATTTGTTGATGGAGAGATGTGCTAGTAGAGTGAGATGTTGTTGAGAGAGAGATGTGCTAGTAGAGTGATATGTTGTTGAGAGAGATGTGCTAGTAGAGTGAGATGTTGATGGAGAGATGTGCTAGTAGAGTGATTTGTTGATGGAGAGAGATGTGCTAGTAGAGTGAGATGTTGTTGAGAGAGAGATGCTAGTAGAGTGTGAGATGTTGTTGAGAGAGAGATGTGCTAGTAGAGTGAGATGTTGATGGAGAGATGTGCTAGTAGAGTGATTTGTTGATGGAGAGAGAGAGAGAGAGATGCTAGTTGATTGACTTCTTGAGAGAGAGAGAGAGAGAGAGAGAGAGAGAGAGAGAGAGAGAGAGAGAGAGAGAGAGAGAGAGAGAGAGAGAGAGAGAGAGAGAGAGAGAGAGAGAGAGAGAGAGAGAGAGAGAGAGAGAGAGAGAGAGAGAGAGAGAGAGAGAGAGAGAGAGAGAGAGAGAGAGAGAGAGAGAGAGAGAGAGAGTAATCCATTCACTATGTTTCTCTTGATATACTGTGAGTAGGTCCGTAGTTGTTGTCTCTTTATTTATGAACATTAGATTCTTGACATCTTCCCTGTTACTGCTTCTTGTTGTTTTATAGACCTGTAATGTAGTTATCTTGGCAGTACAACACAGTATTGATAACTCAAGTATACTTTGTACTCTTTATGATTTGCAGTCCTTCAGGGAACCCCATGTAAGTAGATGTGTCGATGCCAGCCAACTATTTCTTTTAACTTGTTGCTTACTGGAATAATGGCCAGTTTAACAGCAGCTGGATTAGACGAGGCTACCATGGTTAGACATCTACCATGGTGGACAGGACTACCATGGTGGACAGGTCTACTACCTTGCAGACAAGCTACTGCAAGCAGACAGGTTCACCATGGCTAGACAGGTCTACCACTAGACAGGTCTACCATGGCTAGACAGATCTACCATGGCTAAAACAAGTCTACCATGGGACAGGTCTACTACCAGGCTAGACAGGTCTGCCATGGCTAGACAGGTCTACCATGGTGCTAGACAGGTCTACCCATGGCTAGACAGGTCTACCATGGCTAGACAGGTCTACCATGGCTAGACAGATCTACCATGGCTAAACAGGTCTACCATGGATAGACAGGCTACTACCATGGCTAGCAAGTCTACCATGGTGAAGGTGTCCAGTACCATGGCTAGACAGGTTTACCATGCATAGACAGGTCTACTCATGCTAGACAGGTCTACCGTGGCTAGACAGGTCTACTGTGGCTAGACAGGTCTACCATGGCTAGACAGGTCTACCTGCGTAGACAGGTCTACCATGGCTAGACAGGTCTACCATGGGTAGACAGGTCTACCGTGGCTAGACAGGTCTACCATGGCTAGACAGATCTACCATGGCTAGAGAGGTCTACTATGGTAGACAGGGTCTCCAGAGATAGACAAGGCTTGTATGGGTCATATCCGCTGGCCTGAGCTTGGAGGTGTTGCTAGTCCCTTAACCCATAGTTAAGGCTGTTATTATCCACTGTGATGCCCACAAGTTCATGGATAACATTTATCAACCATTGTACTGCTAACTGACTTCCAGCAGATAGTCTAGTGTAGTTCTTGTACATTTTAATAAAACCAGTTTAGTCATTAACCCGACTTGTCCAGTGTTAGACATGTTGTTTGTTGACGGAGCACTCCAGAGTAAGCACATAACACACACGCTTTGAGGACGTGATGGTCTGTTGTCTGAATGAAATGCTCGCCTTAGATACAAGTCTGTGACAATATGATACATACATATACTGTCATTGATCATAGATGACTAATGGATTAGTACCAGACTATAGTTGTACAGTACCTAGAGCAGCACAAGACTAATTAATTAGCACCATATTAGAGCTGTACCTAGAACAGCACCTGTAGTCTGCATGAACCTTACTGAGGCCTCAACTGAGGTGCCAACAAAATACTGTACTGTTAAGATCCTCCGAGCAACACTGGACGATGAAGTTATTAACAAAGAATGATGGACATTCTCCCCTCCCCTGAACAGAGTAAGCTGATAAATGCTTAAAATAAGTCTCAGTATTGTACAGGTGAATTATGATAAAATATACCAGAAAGTTGATGTACGGGGACGAGGTTCTAAATCACGTTCGGATAAAATTGGGGAGAAACAAAACTTTGACTTGAAAAATGTTGTAGAAAACCAGAATGAAACCTTTCAAAATGCAAAGAGTGTCTGTTAACTCTGAAATAAAATTGAGTGTAGAAAATGTTTAATAATCAGAAAGTTGAAATAAGAAAAAGGATTGACAGTTTGTTGAGAAGATGGACTGTACATTATCAGTTTATCATCTCATGGACTGATACTACCTTATATATTACAGAACTATATACTGTATAGAACTTGAGAACTGATCACATGGATAATCAGGTTTTTAACTGATGGAACCCTTGTTTGCATACACTCTTGTTTATAACCACTTGACCCTTTATTTATATAAGTTTGAGTTACAAGGGAGAAGCCACTGATCTCCATGCTGTTTTGGCCAACTCTAATTTATCCCTGATTTATATTAACTTAGCATTTTAAGTGAGAGGTTTTGCTAATTGGTAGCAGAGGAAACACTGAGTTAGAGAGACACCTCCTGATATTATGTCATGAAGTCCTTTGTGATGAACTACCAGGAGTAAAGTTGTATCTCTGACCCTGTGGCTACTCTGATGCCATGTAACCTAACCTGTCCAAATAAATCCTATTGTTTGGTTAAATCTGAGTTGTCGTTAGTTACACCATGCTGTACAGGGTGTCTCATAGGTCATACACCATATTGTACAGGGTGTCTCATAGGTCATACACCATATTGTACAGGGTGTCTCATAGGTCACACAATTAAATGTACAGGTGTCTCATAGGTCATACACCATATTGTACAGGGTGTCTCATAGGTCATATACACTATTGGCAGGGTGTCTCATAGGTCAACACCATATTGTACAGGGTGTCTCATAGGTCACACACCATATTGTCAGGTGTCCATAGGCCATACACCATATTGTACAGGGTGTCTCATAGGTCATACACCATATTGTACAGGGTGTCTCATAGGTCATATACACCATATTGTACAGGGTGTCTTATAGGTCACACACCATACTGTACAGGGTCTCTCATAGGTCATACACCATACTGTACAGGGTCTCTCTTAGGTCATACACCATACTGTACAGAGTGTGCAACTTATGAGATATTTTGGAGCCCTGACTATTGTTGCCGTGGAAACAGTTTTATATTCCACCACACAAGTGAACCAATGAGAGAATTGACACTACAACCTGACCACTGAACCCCACAGTCTGCCCCAGGCTGGATGGTGGTCACCTGGGGACTGAATTAGTTGATGGGTCACCTGAGGCTGGAACTAGTCAGATTTAGTCACCTGCAGACCTAAACTAATTAGAACTGTCTCAGCACTTAAGCACGTCTTCTACATGTTTTGGTGATGTAGGGTATTGGTGGTACAGGTGTGTCTTTCACCACTGTTTAATGCCTGGGTCAGATGGTAGGAAGGTATTTTACAGTGTGACACTATCAAGCTTTTTAAGATTTCTCTAGGTATTACAGTTTCCTTCTTTACTAATGTTAGATAATGAAGGTTGTAACAGAGAACAGAAACACCCAACCACCTAGCACACTGATGAGGTGAAAATGATACAGTAAATAGAAAATATAAATGGCTTCAGGGTTTGATGGCATCAGGGTTTGATGGTGCTGTGGACTCTCAGGCTCTGGGATGTGGGTTGAGTCACAGTGTCAGATACTGTTGGTTGGGTGTTAATCTGCTGAGCTGGCCACCGGTACCCTGGGCTGAGCTAATCTCTTTTAATTGGTGTTTGCCATTCCACAATACCTGGGAGCATCATAAAAGGTGTAGTTGTGCTCACTGTTCAGAGTAATGGTAAGTTGGGGTATGTTTCGAAGTCTTATATGTATGTATATATATATATATATATATATATATATATATATATATATATATATATATATATATATATATATAATATATATATATATATATATATATATATATATATATATATATATATATATATATATATATATATATATATATATATATACACTGTACAGTACTTAATTAGATACAGTTAAAATATGTTCATCAGAGGCTGAAGGTTGCCATTATCAACAAGGAATGTATAGTTCAAAAATGAATGAATTGATATACAGTACTGTAGTTATTTTACTCCCACGTTAACTGTTATTGACCATTACAGTTGTTAATACTATATATATATATATATATATATATATATATATATATATATATATATATATATATATATATATATATATATATATATATATATATATATATATATATATATATATATATATATATATATATATATATATATATATATATATTTATTGTACTGTATTCACAATTATTTTATACAGAATTTTACTTTTACTTCTTAATTAGATGGTACAGTACAGTACACTGCTAAGGAATACCAGTTATATGTTCACTATTAATTACATTCTGTTATAAAATATTGCTTCAGGATTTATTTAGTCTTAATTTGTATAGTACTATAAATAACACCTCAGCTTTTCTTTAATTAATTTTGTAGTTAATCTCTTAATGCCATGATCATTCATACTTTGGTTCCCCTGACAGGGTGCGATGCTATGGGCCAGGTATAGAGCCCTCGGGACCAGTAGTTGGGGCCCCCACAAACTTCACTATTGAGACATTTAGTGCTGGCAAAGGGAAAGTGGAAGCCTTCTTACAAACACCTGATGGCGTCACAAAAACAGTAAAGTACAGCACAGCACTGGTGTGTTTGGTGACACACAATACAGCACTAGTGTGTTTAGTGACACACACAGTACAGCAGTAGTGGTTTAGGCACAAGTACAGCACTGGTGTGTTTAGTGACACACAATTACAGCACTGGTGTGTTTATGGCACACACACAGTACAACACAGCACTGGTGTGTTTAGTGGCACACAGTACAGCAGCACTGGTGTGTTTAGTGGCACACACAGTACAGCACAGCACTGGTGTGTTTAGTGACACACACAGTACAGCACTGGTGTGTTTAGTGGCACACACAGTACAGCACTGGTGTGTTTAGTGACACACACAGTACAGCCTGCACTGGTGTTGTTTAGTGCACACAATTACACACAGCACTTGTGTGTGTTTATTGGCACACACAGTACAGCACTGTGTGTTTAGTGACACACACAGTACAGCACTGGTGTGTTTAGTGACACACACAGTACAGCACAGCACTGGTGTGTTTAGTAGAGCACACACAGTACAGCACTGGTGTGTGTTTAATTGGCACACACAGTACAGCACTGGTGTGTTTAGTAGCACACAAGTACAGCACTGAATGTGTTTAGTACACACAGTACAACACTGGTGTTTAGTGACACACACAGTACAGCACTGGTGTGTTTAGTAACACACAGTACAGCACTGGTGTGTTTGGTACAGCACTGAATGTGTTTTAGTGACACACACAGTACTGCACTGGTGTGTTTAGTGGCACACACATACAGCACTGATTGTGTTTAATTACACACAGTACTGCACTGGTGTGTTTAGTAGCACACAGTACAGCACTGGTGTGTTTAGTGACACACAGTACCCAGCACTGGTGTGTTTAATTGACACACACAGTACAGCACTAGTGTGTTTAGTGACACACACAGTACAGCACTGGTGTTTAGTGACACACAGTACAGCACAGCACTGGTGTGTTTAGTGGCACACACAGTACCCAGCACTGGTGTGTTTAGTGACACACACAGTACACACAGCACTGGTGTGTTTAGTGACACACACAGTACACCACAGCACTGGTGTGTTTAGTAGCACCAGTACAGCACTGGTGTGTTTAGTGACACACACAAGTACTGCACAATTGTGTTTAGTGACACACACAGTACAGCACAGCACTGGTGTGTTTAGTGGCACACACAGTACAGCACTGGTGTGTTTAGTGCACACACACAGTACAGCACAACAGTAGTGTGTTTAGTGACACACAGTACAACACAGCAGTAGTGTGTTTAGTAGCACACACAGTACAGCACTGGTGTGTTTAGTGACACACACAGTACAGCACTGGTGTGTTTAGTGCACACACAGTACAGCACTGGTGTGTTTAGTGACACACACACAGTACAGCACTGGTGTGTTTAGTGACACACACAGTACAGCACAGCACTGGTGTGTTTAGTGACACACAATTACAGCACTGGTGTGTTTATTGTTACACAGTACAGCACTGGTGTGTTTAGTGGCACACACAGTACAGCACTGGTGTGTTTAGTGACACACACAGTACAGCACAGCACTGGTGTGTTTAGTGGCACACAATACAGCACTGGGTGTGTTTAGTGACACCGTAGTACAGCACTAGTGTGTTTAGTGCACACACACAGTACAGCACAACAGTAGTGTGTTTAGTGACACACACAGTACAGCACAGCACTGGTGTTTAGTGACACACACAGTACAGCACAGCAGTAGTGTGTTTAGTGACACACACCAGTACAGCACAGCACTGGTGTGTTTAGTGACACACACAGTACAGCACAGCAGTAGTGTGTTTAGTGGCACACAGTACAGCACTGGTGTGTTTAGTGACACACACAGTACAGCACAGCACTGGTGTGTTTAGTGACTCAGTACAGCACTAGTGTGTTTAGTGACACACACAGTACAGCACTGGTGTGTTTGTATCACACAGTACAGCACTGGTGTGTTTAGTGACACACACAGTACAGCTGCAGTGTGTTTAGTGACACACAGTACAGCACAGCACTGGTGTGTTTAGTGACACACACAGTACAGCACTGAATTGTTTAGTGGCACACACAGTACAGCACTGGTGTGTTTAGTGACACACAGTACAGCACAGCACTAGTGTGTTTAGTGACACACACAGTACAGCACTGGTGTGTTTAGTGACACACACAGTACAACACAGCACTAGTGTGTTTAGTGACACACAGTACCCAGCACTGGTGTGTTTAGTGACACACACAGTACAGCACTGGTGTGTTTAGTGGCACACAATACAGCACTGGTGTGTTTAGTGACACACAGTCCCAGCACTGGTGTGTTTAGTGACACACACAGTACAGCACAGCAGTAGTGTGTTTAGTGACTACACAGTACAGCACAGCATGTGTTTGATGGCACACACAGTACAGCACTAGTGTGTTTAGTGACACACACAGTACAGCACAGCAGTAGTGTGTTTAGTGACACACAGTACAGCACTGGTGTGTTTAGTGGCACACACACATTACAGCACTGGTGTGTTTAGTGGCACACAGTACAGCACTGGTGTGTTTAGTGACACACACAGTACAGCACTGGTGTGTTTAGTGACACACACAGTACAGCACAGCAGTAGTGTGTTTAGTGACACACACAGTACAGCACAGCAGTAGTGTGTTTAGTGGCACACAGTACAGCACAGCACTGGTGTGTTTAGTGACACACACAGTACAGCACAGCACTGGTGTGTTTAGTGACCACACAGTATAGCACTGGTGTGTTTAGTGACACACACAGTACAGCACAGCAGTAGTGTGTTTAGTGACACACACAGACTTACAACAGTAGTGTGTTTAGTGGCACACACAGTACAGCACTGGTGTGTTTAGTGACACACAGTACAACCGCAGCACTAGTGTGTTTAGTGACACACACAGTACAGCACTGGTGTGTTTAGTGACACACACAAGCACTAGTGTTTGTACACACAAATGGGGTGTTTAGTGACACACACAGCACAGCACTGGTGTGTTTGGTGACACACACAGTACAGCACTGGTGTGTTTAGTGACAAACAGACCACACAGCACATGAGTGTTTAGTACACACACAATTACCAAGCACTGGTGTGTTTAGTGACCACACAGTACACCATATAATGTGTTTAGTGACACACAGTACAGCACAGGACACCTACAGCACTGTGTTTAGTGGCACAGTACAACATGGTGTGTTTAGTGACACACAGTACAGCACTGGTGTGTTTAGTGAAAGTACACACACAGTACAGCACTGGTGTGTTTAGTGACACACAGTACAACACTGGTGTTTTGACACACACAGTACAGCACAGCAATGAGTGTGTTTAGTGAACACACAGTACAACACTGGTGTGTTTATGACACAGTACACACAGCATAGTGTGTTTAGTGACACACATACACACACAACACTGTGTGTTTAGTGACACACACAAAGCACTGGTGTTTAGGACACACAACACAACTTTAGACAACTACAGCACGTGTGTTAGTGCACACAGAGCACGACAGACAGCACTGGTGTGTTTAGTGACCACACAGTACCTTTAGCACTGGTGGTTTAGTGACACACAATACAGCACTGGTGTGTTTAGTGACACACACAATACAGCACAGCAGTAGTGTGTTTAGTGAACACACAGTACCAGACTGGTGTGTTTAAACCAGGGCAACAAGCACGTTTTACACACAACAGACAGCATAGTGTGTTTATGACACAACTGTTTAGTGACACACACAGTACAGCACTGGTGTGTTTAGTGACACACACAGTACAGCACTTAGTGTTTTAGTATCACAGTACAGCACAGCACTGGTGTGTTTAGTGACACACACACAAACACTGGTGTGTTTAGTGACACACACAGTCACACAGTAGTGTTTAGTGACACACACAGTGCAACACTAGTGTGTTTAGTAGCACACACAGTACAGCAGCACTGGTGTTTACACAACACTTAACAGACAGCATGTGTTTGGTGGCACACAGTACAGCACTGGTGTGTTTAGTGACACACACAGTACAGCAGCACTGGTGTGTTTAGTGACACACACAGTACAGCACAGCACTGGTGTGTTTAGTGACACACACAGTACAGCACAGACACTTGTGTGTTTAGTATCACACAGTACAGCACTAGTGTGTGTTTAGTGACACACAGTACAACACTAATTGTGTTTAGTGACACAGTACCTACTAGTGTGTTTGTACACACACACAGTTACAGCACTGGTGTGTTTAGTGACACACACAGTACTGCAGTAGTGTGTTTAGTGACACACACCTGGCACAACACTGGTGTGTTTAGTGACACACAGTACAGCACAGCACTGGTGTGTTTAGTGACACACACAGTACAGCACTGGTGTGTTTAGTGACACACACAGTACAGCACAGCAGTGTTAGTGACACACACACTGCTAGTGTGTTTAGTGACACACAGTACAGCACAGCACTGGTGTGTTTAGTGACACACACAGTCACAGCACTGGTGTGTTTAGTGGCACACACAGTACAGCACAGCAGTAGTGTGTTTAGTGACACACAGCACAGCACTGGTGTGTTTAGTGACACACACAGTACACTTCAGATGTGTTTAGTGACACACACAGTACAGCACAGCAGTAGTGTGTTTAGTGGCACACACAGTACAGCACTGGTGTGTTTAGTGACACACAGTACAGCACTGTGTGTTTAGTGACACACACAGTACAGCACAGCAGTAGTGTGTTTAGTGACACACACAGTAGCACTGGTGTGTTTAGTGACACACACAGTACAGCACAGCATAGTGTGTTTAGTGACACACAGTACAGCACTAATTGTTTAGTGACACACACAGTACAGCACAGCAGTAGTGTGTTTAGTGACACACACAGTACAGCACTGGTGTGTTAGAGTACAGCACTGGTGTGTTTAGTGACACACAGTACAGCACAGCACTGGTGTGTTTAGTGACACACAGTACAGCACTGGTGTGTTTAGTGAACACACACAGTACAGCACAGCAGTAGTGTGTTTAGTGACACACACAGTACAGCACTAGTGTGTTTAGTGGCACAGTACAGCACTAGTGTGTTTAGTGACACACACAGTACAGCACTGGTGTGTTTAGTGACACACAGTACAGCACAACAGTAATTGTGTTTAGTGACACACACAGTACAGCACTGGTGTGTTTAGTGACACACACAGTACAGCACAGCAGTAGTGTGTTTAGTGACACACACAGTACAGCACTGGTGTGTTAGTGCACACACAGTACAGCACTGGTGTGTTTGTGACACACAGTACACAGCACAGCACTAGTGTGTTTAGTGACACACACAGTAGCACTGGTGTGTTTAGTGACACACAGTACAGCACAGCAGTAGTGTGTTTAGTGACACACACAGTACAGTACAGCACAACACTGGTGTGTTTAGTGGCACACACAGTACAGCGCTGGTGTGTTTAGTGACACACAGACATACAGCACAGGTGTGTTTAGTGACACACACACGTACAGCACTGGTGTGTTTAGTGACACACACAGTACAGCACACTAGTGTGTTTAGTGACACACACAGTACAGCACTATTGTGTTTAGTGACACACACAGTACAGCAGTGGTGTGTTTAGTGACACACACAGTACAGCACTGGTGTGTTTAGTTGACACACAGTACAGCACAGCACTGGTGTGTTTAGTGACACACAGTACAGCACAGCACAGCACTGGTGTGTTTAGTGACACACACAGTACAGCACTGGTGTGTTTAGTGACACACACAGTACAGCACAGCACTGGTGTGTTTAGTGGCATACACAGTACAGCACTGGTGTGTTTAGTGACACACACAGTACCACAGCACTGGTGTGTTTAGTGACACACACAGTACAGAACTGGTGTGTTTAGTGACACACAGTACAGCACTGGTGTGTTTAGTGACACACACAGTACAGCACAGCACTGGTGTGTTTAGTGACACACACAGTAGCACTGGTGTGTTTAGTGGCACACACAGTACAGCACTGGTGTGTTTAGTGACACAAGTACCACAGCACTAGTGTGTTTAGTGACACACACAGTACAGCACTGAGTGTGTTTAGTGGCACACACAGTACAGCACTGGTGTGTTTAGTGACACACACAGTACAGCACTGGTGTGTTTAGTGACACACACAGTACAGCACAGCACTGGTGTGTTTAGTGACACACAGTACAAGCACTGCTGGTGTGTTTAGTGACACACACACAGTACACATATGTGTTTAGTACACACAGTACCACTGGTGTGTTTAGTGACACACACAGTACAGCACAACAGTAGTGTTTAGTGACACACACAGTACCACTGGTGTGTTTAGTGACACACAGTACCAGCACTGGTGTGTTTAGTAGCACAGCACTAGTGTGTTTAGTACACACTGGTGTGTTTAGTGACACACAGTACAGCACTGGTGTGTTTAGTGGCACACAGTACCAGCACTGGTGTGTTTAGTGGCACACAGTACAGCACTGGTGTGTTTAGCACACACAATACAGCACAACTGGTGTGTTTAGTGGCACACAGTACAGCACTGGTGTGTTTAGTGACACACAGCACAGCACTTGTGTGTTTAGTGGCACACACAGTACAGCACTGGTGTGTTTAGTGACACACACAGTACAGTACAGCACAGCACTTGTGTGTTTAGTGGCACACACAGTACAGTGCTGGTGTGTTTAGTGGCACACACAGTACTGTATCATCCTGCCTTAACACTACAGTATAGTGATAACCTTCAACACTAGAAATGTCTATAATTTTACTTTCATAAGTTATCAATGATTTACTGTTAAGTTCTCCTCTGTTCAACTTGAGGACTCAGAATACTGTGAAATGCATACTCTTTATTTATTGTTTTAACATTTTGCTTTTAATCTTCTCATAGCTGGAGTGTAAGTTCAACAATGACAGGAATTTGACTTACACGTGCAAGTACACACCAGAGTGTGAGGGCGACTTTATTGTTAGTGTCAAGTAAGTGTTGCTTTATCATGTACTGTAGAGATGTAACCAGGTACTGAGAAACAGATTATTCACATATGGAAATAACTGATCATAAAACTAATGCCTTAATCTTATGAAGAAAATTTTTGTTTGTTATAATATAAAGTATTAGTATGAGTCAAGTTTTGCCAGTTCATGAGAATTTTGTCCAATATTATTATGCTACTTATTCTATGCTGTAGATTATCTCATGATCTCTGTTTTTCTCGTAAGAATCTCATACACACCTTAGGTTAAATTAATAAGGTATTTTTTTGTTCAACTTGGTACTGTACTTTAATCTTTATACAGTATTTGGTTCACATTGTGTGTACTGTACTGTACTGTATTGTATATATGGAGCTGTACAGTGACAATTTGAAAGGTTTAAGGTTGTGGGTGTGTTCTCCACACTAGTTTTATGAGTTGTATTTTAACCTCAGGTTCAGCGGACGAGAGATCCCCAAGTCACCATTCTGGGTCAACGTGTCAGGGTTTGCAGGTGATCCGTCAAAGGTGACGGCCTCAGGCCCGGGTCTGGAGCCTGAAGGAGTCACTATTAACAGACCAACATACTTTGATATTTTCACCAAGGGTGAGTTGGGTGATGTTATAGGGGTGATACTTATCTCCATTACTCTTTCTTTATCTTATACGACAAGACCATTTATTTTTTTTTCAGTTGATTAAATTTTAGGGAAATACTGTAGTATAGTCAAGACATTTATCAAACTTTAGCATTAATAACAGGGTGTCAGGCCACAGCAACAGGGTAACAGGACACAATAACAGGGTAACAGACCACAATAACAGGCTAACAGGCCACCTTGCATCAAACAGGAGAAGGATTGGTACTGTAAATAGAAAAAAAAATAAGAAAAACACTAAAAAGGGTTTTTCTGTTCTACAGTATTATGATAAGTATAAAAATCTGAAAGTAAATTTAGACATGATATTTGTAGCTGACTACTGTACATACTATGTTAGATCTTGATAAAATCACACGGGAAAATGGAAACAACGGAGCACCTTAGCTTTCGTCTTTATTCAAGACATCTTCAGAGGCAACTGGACTACATGGACAGAGAGAGGCTTAAATATACAGGGTGACCTTAAAAACATGAGGTCAGGTCATAATGATGTCATCCACTTAGTGGATGACATTATGACCTGACCTCGTCCTCAAGACTGAACCAAAGGCTAAAATTTCCATCAATCTTATCCACGTTTTCATTGTGGATTTACATGAACTATGTTAGATTGATGGCACAGGAGTTTCAAGACTGAAATTTTTTGAAGACCTAGTTTTTGTGCAGGACAAGTCATGTAGTATTGCAGAAGTTTTAGTTGTCATGCAAAAATTTGGGTTTGGATTATAGTATAAATTATCCAAGGGTTAGGTAATTATCATCGTTATGGGTATTGACTTTCTGAAATAATTTTAATTCATTGTTTACTTTACTGTACACATTTTACTTGATGCACAGTTGAATTTACATTTTCCCACACTGCTAAATGGTTGAAGCCTTAATGTTATATCTTATAGTACTATATATGTCCTTAAAGGTCTCTTATAGTTTAGTATATATACAGCAGACTATAACACAAACACTATTACACTGTTAAAATAATTGTTTGTTATAATATTAAGTGAAAAGATTCACCATAATGTGGAAGTCAAGTTTGTAAATATAACCCATAGTGAGAGATATAGTCTTCTAGTTAAACACTGTACCACTGTTTACTGACACTGTGTGGAGGATGTCTCTGGTCCCTGGCACTGTGTGGAAGATGTCTGGTCCCTGGCACTGTGTGGAAGATGTCTCTGGTCCCTGGCACTGTGTGGAAGATGTCTCTGGTCCCTGGCACTGTGGAGGATGTCTCTGGTCCCTGGCACTGTGTGGAAGATGTCTGGTCCCTGGCACTGTGTGGAAGATGTCTCTGGTCCTTGTTACTGTGTGGAAGATGTCTCTGGTCCGGCACTGTGTGGAGGTCTCTGGTCCTGGCTGTGTGGGAATGTCTGGTCCCTGGCTGTGTGGAGGATGTCTCTGGAACCTGGCTGTGTGGAGGATGTCTCTGGTGCTGTGTGGAATGTCTGTCCTGTGTGGAGGATGCGTCCTGGCACTGTGTGGAGATGTCTCTGGTCCTGTCACTGTGTGGAGGATGTCTGGTCCCTGGCACTGTGTGGAAGATGTCTCTGGTCCCTGTCTGTGTGGAGGATGTCTCTGGTCCCTGGCACTGTGTGGAAGATCTCTGGTCCCTGTCACTGTGTGGAGGATGTCTGTTCCTGGCACTGTGTGGAGGATGTCTCTGGTCCCTGTCACTGTGTGGAGAGATGTCTCTGGTCCCTGGCACTGTGTGGAAGATGTCTCTGGTCCTTGTTACTGTGTGGAAGATGTCTCTGGTGCACTGTGTGGAAGATGTCTCTGGTCCCTGTCACTGTGTGGACGATATCTCTGGTCCCTGGCACTGTGTGGAGATGTCTCTGGTCCCTGGCACTGTGTGGAAGATGTCTCTGGTCCTGGCACTGTGTGGAAGATGTCTCTGGTCCCTGTCACTGTGTGGACGATATCTCTGGTCCTTGTTACTGTGTGGAAGATGTCTCTGGTCCCTGGCACTGTGTGGAGGATGTCTCTGGTCCTTGTTACTGTGTGGAAGATGTCTCTGGTCGCCGTGTGGAGATGTCTCTGGTCCTGGCACTGTGTGGAGATGTCTCTGGTCCTGTCACTGTGTGGAAGATGTCTCTGGTTCTGTGTGGACGATGTCTCTGGTCCACTGTGTGGAAGATGTCTCTGGTCCTGCTGTGTGGAAGATGTCGCGCCTGTGTGAGTCTCTGGTCCTGTTACTGTGTGGAAGATTCTCTGGTCCTTGTTACTGTGTGGAAGATGTCTCTGGTCCTGGCATGTGGGGAATTCTCTGGTCCTGGCACTGTGTGGAAGATGTCTCTGGTCCCTGGCACTGTGTGGAAGATGTCTCTGGTCCTTGTCACTGTGGAAGATGTCTCTGGTCGCACTGTGTGGAAGATGTCTCTGGTCCTGTCTGTGGAAGTGTCTCGTCCCTGTCACTGTGGGAAGATGTCTCTGGTCCTTGTTACTGTGTGGAAGATGTCTCTGGTCCTGGCACTGTGTGAAGATGTCTCTGGTCCTTGTTACTTGTGGAGATGTCTCTGGTCCCTGGCATGGAGATCCGACTGTGGAATGCTCTGGTCCTGTACTGTGTGGAAGATGTCTCTGGTCCCTGTTACTGTGTGGAAGATGTCTCTGGTCCCTGGCACTGTGTGGAAGATGTCTCTGGTCCCTGTCACTGTGTGGAGATGTCTCTGGTCCACTGTGTGGAATGTCTCTGGTCTGATGGGAAGATGTCTCTGGTCCTTGTTACTGTGTGGAGATGTCTCTGGTCCCTGGCACTGTGTGGAAGATGTCTCTGGTCCCTGGCACTGTGTGGAAGATGTCTCTGGTCCTGGCACTGTGTGGAAGATGTCTCTGGTCCTGGCACTGTGGAGATGTCTCTGGCCCTGTGGAATGTCTCTGGTCCCTGGCACTGTGTGGACGATGTCTCTGGTCCTTGTTACTGTGGAAGATGTCTCTGGTCCTGGCTGGAAGATGTCTCTGGTCCTTGTTACTGTGTGGAAGATGCCTGTGGAAGATGTCTCTGGTCCCGTTCTGGTCCTGTGTGTGGAGATGTCTCTGGTCCCTGGCACTGTGGAAGATGTCTCTGGTCCCTGTCACTGTGTGGAGATATCTCTGGTCCTTCTGTGTGGAGATGTCTCTGGTCTTGTTCTGTGTGGAATGTCTCTGGTCCTGTCTGTGTGGAAGATGTCTCTGGTCCTGGCATTGTGGATATCTCTGGTCCTGCTGTGGGAGATGTCTCTGGTCCTGGCTGTGTGGAAGATGTCCTGGTCCCTGGCACTGTTGGAAGATGTCTCTGGTCCCTGGCACTGTGTGGAAGATGTCTCTGGTCTGTCACTGTGTGGAAGATATCTCTGGTCCTTGTTGCTGTGTGGAAGATGTCTCTGGTCCCTGGCACTGTGTGGAAGATGTCTCTGGTCCTTGTTGCTGTGTGGAAGATGTCTCTGGTCCCTGGCACTGTGTGGAAGATGTCTCTGGTCCCTGGCACTGTGGAGATGTCTCTGGTCCCTGTCACTGTAGAATTCTCTGGTTCCTGGCACTGTGGGAGATGTCTCTGGTCCTTGTTACTGTGTGGAAGATGTCTCTGGTCCCTGTTGGAGATGTCTCTGGTCTGCACTGTGTGGAAGATGTCTCTGGTCCTTGTTTGTGGAAGATGTCTCGTCCTGCACTGTGTGGAAGATGTCTCTGGTCCCTGGCACTGTGTGGAGATGTCTCTGGTCCCTGTCACTGTGTGGAGATGTCTGGTCCTGGCATGTGTGGAGGATGTCTCTGGTCCTTGTTACTGTGTGGAAATGTCTCTGGTCCCTGTCGAATGTCTCTGTCGCCCCTGTGTGGAAGATGTCTCTGGTCCGGATGTCCCGATGTCTGGTCCTCGGAAGATGTCTCTGGTCCTGCACTGTGGAAGATGTCTCTGGTCCTGCTTCTTGGGAAGTGTCTCTGGTCCTGGCACTGTGTGGAAGATGTCTCTGGTCCCTGTCACTGTGTGGAAGATGTCTCTGGTCCCTGTCACTGTGTGGAGATGTCTCTGGTCCTGGCACTGTGTGGAAGATGTCTCTGGTCCCTGTCACTGTGTGGAAGATGTCTCTGGTCTGCTGTGTGGAGATGTCTCTGGTCCTGCCTGTGTGGAAGTCTCTGGTCCTGTCTGTTGGAAGACCCCACTGAACTGCCTGCATGGACTGTGGAGATGTCTCTGGTCCTGTGTGGGAGGTCCTGGCACTGTGTGGAAGATGTCTCTGGTCCTGGCACTGTGTGGAAGATGTCTCTGGTCCTGTGTAGTGTCTGGTCCCTGGCACTGTGTGGAGGATGTCTCTGGTCCCTGTCACTGTGTGGAAGATGTCTCTGGTCCTGGCACTGTGTGGAAGATGTCTGGTCCTGGCACTGTGTGGAAGATGTCTCTGGTCCCTGGCACTGTGTGGAAGATGTCTGGTCCGTGGCACTGTGTGGAGGATGTCTCTGGTCCCTGGCACTGTGGAAGATGTCTTGGTCCCTGTCACTGTGTGGAGGATGTCTCTGGTCCCTGTCACTGTGTGGGAGGTGTCTGGCCTGCACTGTGAAGATGTCTCTGGTCCCTGTCACTGTGTGGAAGATGTCTGGTCCCTGGCACTGTGTGGAGGATGTCTCTGGTCCCTGTCACTGTGTGGAGGATGTCTCTGGTCCTTGTTACTGTGTGGAGGATGTCTGGTCCCTGGCACTGTGTGGAAGATGTCTGGTCCCTGGCACTGTGTGGAAGATGTCTCTGGTCCTGGCACTGTGTGGAAGATGTCTGGTCCCTGCACTGTGTGGAAGATGTCTCTGGTCCCTGGCACTGTGGAAGATGTCTCTGGTCCCTGGCACTGTGTGGAAGATGTCTCTGGTCCCTGTCACTGTGTGGAGGATGTCTCTGGTCCCTGTCACTGTGTGGAGGATGTCTCTGGTCCCTGGCACTGTGTGGAAGATGTCTCTGGTCCCTGGCACTGTGTGGAAGATGTCTCGGTCCCTGCACTGTGTGGAGGATGTCTCTGGTCCCTGGCACTGTGTGAAGATGTCTCTGGTCCCTGTCACTGTGTGGAGGATTCTCTGGTCCTGGCACTGTGTTGAAGATGTCTGGTCCCTGGCACTGTGTGGAAGATGTCTCTGGTCCCTGGCACTGTGTGGAAGATGTCTCTGGTCCTGGCACTTGTGTGGAAGATGTCTCTGGTCCCTGGCACTGTGTGGAAGATGTCTCTGGTCCCTGGCACTGTGTGGAAGATGTCTGGTCCCTGGCACTGTGTGGAAGATGTCTCTGGTCCCTGGCACTGTGTGGAAGATGTCTCTGGTCCCTGGCACTGTGTGGAAGATGTCTCTGGTCCTGGCACTGTGTGGAAGATGTCTGTCCCTGTCACTGTGTGGAAGATGTCTCTGGTCCCTGGCACTGTGTGTGGAGATGTCTCTGGTCCCTGGCACTGTGTGGAAGATGTCTCTGGTCCCTGTCACTGTGTGGAAGATGTCTCTGGTCCCTGGCACTGTGTGGAAGATGTCTCTGGTCCCTGGTACTGTGTGGAAGATGTCTCTGGTCCCTGTCACTGTGTGGAAGATGTCTCTGGTCCCTGGCACTGTGTGAAGATGTTCGGTCCCGGCACTGTGTGGAAGATGTCTCTGGTCCCTGGCACTGTGTGGAGGATGTCTCTGGTCCCTGGCACTGTGTGGAGGATGTCTCTGGTCCCTGGCACTGTGTGTGGAGGATGTCTCTGGTCCCTGGCACTGTGTGAAGATGTTCTGGTCCCTGCACTGTGTGAAGATGTCTCTGGTCCCTGTCACTGTGTGGAGGATGTCTCTGGTCCCTGGCACTGGTGGAAGATGTCTCTGTCCCTGGCACTGTGTGGAAGATGTCTCTGGTCCCTGTCACTGTGTGGGAAGATGTCTCTGGTCCCTGGCACTGTGTGGAAGATGTCTCTGGTCCCTGGCACTGTGGAGGATGTCTCTGGTCCTGGCACTGTGTGGAGGATGTCTCTGGTCCCTGTCACGGAGATGTCTCTGGTCCTGTCACTGTGTGGAGGATGTCTCTGGTCCCTGGCACTGTGTGGAAGATGTCTCTGGTCCCTGGCACTGTGTGGAAGATGCCTGGTCCTGGCACTGTGAGGATGTCTCTGGTCCCTGGCACTGTGAAGATGTCTCTGGTCCCTGGCACTGTGTGGAAGATGTCTCTGGTCCCTGTCACTGTGTGGAAGATGTCTCTGGTCCCTGTCACTGTGTGGAGGATGTCTCTGGTCCCTGGCACTGTGGAAGATGTCTCTGGTCACTGTGTGGAGGATGTCTTGTCCCTGGCACTGTGTGGAAGATGTCTCTGGTCCTGCACTGTGTGGAAGATGTCTCTGGTCCCTGTCACTGTGTGGAGGATGTCTCTGGTCCCTGGCACTGTGTGGAGGATGTCTCTGGTCCCTGGCACTGTGGAAGAGTGGAAGATGTCTCTGTCCTGTCACTGTGTGGAGGATGTCTTGGTCCCTGGCACTGTGTGGAGGATGTCTCTGGTCCCTGTCACTGTGTGGAAGATGTCTCTGGTCCCTGTCACTGTGTGGAAGATGTCTCTGGTCCTGGCACTGTGTGGAGGATGTCTCTGGTCCTTGTTACTGTGTGGAGATGCTCTGGTCCCTGCACTGTGGAAGATGTCTCTGGCCCTGTCACGTGGAAGATGTCTCTGGTCCCTGTCACTGTGTGGAAGATGTCTCTGGTCCCTGGCACTGTGTGGAAGATGTCTCTGGTCCCTGGCACTGTGTGGAAGATGTCTCTGTCCTGGCACTGTGTGGAGGATGTCTCTGGTCCCTGCACTGTGTGGAAGATGTCTGGTCCTGGCACTGTGTAGATGTCTCTGGTCCCTGGCACTGTGTGGAGGATGTCTCTGGTCCCTGGCACTGTGTGGAAGATGTCTGGTCCCTGGCACTGTGTGGAGGATGTCTCTGGTCCCTGGCACTGTGTGGAGGATGTCTCTGGTCCCTGTCACTGTGTGGAAGATGTCTCTGGTCCCTGGCACTGTGTGGAAGATGTCTCTGGTCCCTGGCACTGTGTGGAAGATGTCTCTGTCCTGTCACTGTGTGGAGGATGTCTCTGGTCCCGGCACTGTGTGGAAGATGTCTGTCCCGGCACTGTGAAGATGTCTCTGGTCCCTGGCACTGTGGGAGGATGTCTCTGTCCCTGGCACTGTGTGGAAGATGTCTGGTCCCTGGCACTGTGGAAGATGTCTCTGGTCCCTGGCACTGTGTGGAGGATGTCTCTGGTCCCTGGCACTGTGTGGAAGATGTCTGGTCCCTGGCACTGTGTGGAGATGTCTCTGGTCCCTGGCACTGTGTGGAAGATGTCTCTGGTCCCTGTCACTGTGTGGAGGATGTCTCTGGTCCCTGGCACTGTGTGGAGGATGTCTCTGGTCCCTGGCACTGTGGAAGATGTCTCTGGTCCCTGTCACTGTGGAGGATGTCTCTGGTCCCTGGCACTGTGTGGAAGATGTCTCTGGTCCCTGTCACTGTGTGGAAGATGTCTCTGTCCTGGCACTGTGTGGAAGATGTCTCTGGTCCCTGGCACTGTGTGGAAGATGTCTGTCCCTGGCACTGTGTGGAAGATGTCTCTGGTCCCTGTCACTGTGTGGAGGATGTCTCTGTTCCCTGGCACTGTGTGGAGGATGTCTCTGGTCCTTGTTACTGTGTGGAGGATGTCTCTGTCCCTGGCACTGTGTGAAGATGTCTCTGGTCCCTGGCACGTGGAAGATGTCTGGTCCCTGGCACTGTGTGGAGGATGTCTCTGGTCCCTGTCACTGTGTGGAGGATGTCTCTGGTCCTGGCACTGTGGAAGATGTCTCTGTCCCTGGCACTGTGTGGAAGATGTCTCGTCCCTGTCATGTGTGGAGGATGTCTCTGGTCCCTGTCACTGTGTGGAGGATGTCTCTGGTCCCTGTCACTGTGTGGAAGATGTCTCTGGTCCTGGGCACTGTGTGGAGGATGTCTCTGGTCCCTGTCACTGTGTGGAAGATGTCTGTCTGGCACTGTGTGGAAGATGTCTCTGGTCCCTGTCACTGTGTGGAAGATGTCTCTGGTCCCCTGCACTGTGTGGAAGATGTCTTGGTCCCTGGCACTGTGTGGAAGATGTCTCTGGTCCTTGTTACTGTGGTTGTTTAATAGTTGTGTTGTGGTCCAGATATTAGATCTATCCTTTAATGTGGATTTGATTCAGGTGTTACTTATGCTGTGTTAGTCAGGTGTGTGTGTGTGTGTGTGTGTGTGTGTGTGTGTGTGTGTGTGTGTGTGTGTGTGTGTGTGTGTGTGTTGGTTAGGGTGTCTGTGTGTGTCAGTGTGTGTGTTAGTCAGGGTGTGTGTGTGTTAGAGGTGTGTGTGTGTGTATGTGTGTTAGGTCAAGGTGTGTGTGTTAGTCGGTGTCTGTGTGTGTATGTGTGTGTGTACTGGACTTAGATGAAGGAAGTGTTACAGTAACCTCTACACTTAGACTACAGTACTATGAATAATACAAGAGATACATTATAGTTAACTCATATGTTTTAACTGTACTTTGAGGTAAATACAATAATATAATATAGATTTACAGTAATATGTTGACATAGTTACAGCGTATTGACGAGTTTAGTCGCTGTTTTAACCTCGTCTTCATAACTTCAAATACAATAATGAAATAAAATAATAATACTAGATCGATAGATATTTTAACCAGAGCTTTAGATAGATACAATAATAAAATAATATAGAATAGATATTTTATAGTATAAGTAATGTGGCTATATCCATCGCTGCCTAATATACTGACGAACATCTTTCTTGTCCCTCCTCTAAATCCCGTTTGTACTAACATAACGGCCCTGTCTTCACTTCTTGCTTCTGTCTCTAATTTTGTGCTTGTTGGTTCCCACCTGTGTGTAAATTTACCTGAACGATAAACGATATTTAAATAAAAATGACCATCTGCTCTCTCTCTCTCAAACCATTTCTAATCCTTTTCAATTATTTTCATTCAAATAATTACCTAAATGTTTTTCTTAAAATTCTTAATTACTTTCACTTCATATATCTCTTAACACTTATTATTTTCCTACTAATTTCAAACCCCTTATTATTTTCCTATCAATTTCCCTAAACCCTTACTATTTTCTCATCAATTTCCCCAAACCTCTTATTATTTTCCCCCATCATATTTCCCTAAACCCTTATTATATTCCCTATCAATTTCCCTACAATTTACATAAACTATTATTTTCCCTACCTATTATTTTCCCTACCAATTACCTAAACATCTTATCTATCTATCTATATCTATCTGTTTATCTATCTATCTATCTAAACTAATATTTCACATAACTATCAATTGTTTATTATTTGGTTCACTTTCTGCACCAATGAACTCTCTGTCTCTTACACTACACACACACACACACATCTCTGCTATGGGTCTGTTCACACTGTTAATGCTATTTTATGCCTTGTCTTTATTTACTATATTCTGTCTTCCATTCATCTGTTTCTTCTGGGTTTTTTCTTGATTTTTTTTTTTAATATATATTTTTTAAACTTTTTTATGTTATGTTTTAATTGGGTTTGTAAATAACATAAATAATCATGATGTAATTAATGATAAATTTTTTGGTAAACTTGTTGAATATAACTTGTGGATGTTGTGTTCTTGCGGATGTTGTGTTCTTGCGGATGTTGTGTTCTTGCGGATGTTGTGTTCTTGTGGTTGGTAATGTTTTGCATCACTAAAACTGTTTGTTTTTGTTAATTTTCTTGTCAATTTTTTTTTTGCATGATATTCTAACATTAATAATTATATTTTTCCCCATACCGACTTATTTTATACGTCCCTGAATTCCCCCCAAATTTACCCTAAAACCCTCGGTAGATCCACAAACTCCTCTGTATGGTAACTTCCCCTTCTCTCACACTGGCCGTCGTCACTCTAGCACCATTCTTACAAGCCCTCGTTCCCGTTTCTCCCAATCCTCTCCCACCACACCAGATGCAGGGAAAGGCACCCCAGAGGTCATCATATTGGACCCGGCTGGCCACAAGAACACCGTACCAGTCAAGACTCGTCAGATAAGTGAAGGCGTGTACCGCTGTGAGTATGTAGCCTCTGGCATTGGTCTACATTCCATCAACATCTTCTTTGCTGAGCAGCCCATTCCAGGAAGTCCTTACGGTGTTAAGGTGTCCCCAAGTGAGTACAGTACATTACAGCGTAGGTTTATAACGCATTGGAAAAATTATCTTATATAGAAAAAGAATCCATACTTGAATCCAAAGAATCACTGTAAAGTAAAAATTTAAAGAGGTTCAGAATATTTAAAATTGTATTTTATATATAGTGTATACAATACTGGGAACATTACCAGTTTTACATAAGTTGATCCTAAAGTACTCCTTCCTACCTTCCTCCCTCGTGTGTTACAGTTTGTGATGCTAGAAAAGTGAAAGCATCAGGGCGAGGTCTGCAGCCTAATGGTGTGAGGGTCAAGGACTCGGCAGACTTCAAGGTCTACACTGAGGGAGCTGGTGAAGGCAATGTCGAGGTCAAGGTCATTGGGCCAGGTAAGGTCACTGTCCCTTTCTCCAGTAAAATTGTGTTCATTTGGTCTGAATCATAAGAGAACTTTGATTCCACTAATATAGTCTCACCTGTTCATGCTGACTCAGGCTTTGGTCTGATAAATTAACTGTTTACATTATATCTTTGAAACACATTTTAACCCCATTATACAGCACAAAATCTAATTATGTTCATAAATAATTTGATAAGAATAAGACAGTGAGGGCCAGAAGTATGTGTTGTAAGAGAATGAACACATCTTGGAGATATTACCCATATCGCTCTGAGCTTCCTTAGTTTGGATGTTAAGTGTAACAAGAAGGACTGTACTGTATATTTTATCCATGTGGTCATGAAGTAATATAACTGTTTTATCATTAACAGTTTTGTCATGTATGTGTTCTTATTCTCTTGTTTCTTGTGCCTCAGCAGTTGTCTTTTATGTTTTTTTTCTTTTTTTAATTTTGAATTATTAGATTTATTATTAACCACTAGTTATTATAATAGTTGGTCAGGTGGTTGGTACGACCTTCCTTCTCCAGTGTTAGTACAGTAGGAAACTGGACTACCTGGAGAACACTTGCTATGTTTGGTAGAGTCACACTAGATAATATCCTTCTCGCATGTGACCTGGGGAAATGAACCCATGACTTTGCCATCTCTTGTTGTAACTTTGTAGAGATAAGTGTTCTGAGGCTCCCATGGTGCTTTGGTCATATTTATTGTTCATTTTTCTTATACTGTATTGATTCATCCTCTTCTCCAGGTGGGTCCCATGAAGTAATAAAAACAAAGCAGATTGACGCTTACACATATGAGTATGTTTACCATCCCAAGAAAGAAGGCCGCTTCATTGTAATGGTATCCTTTGGTGGCCAAGAGATACCTAAGAGTCCATTTGAGGTGAGACAAATTACTAATGTTGGAAAAGTAAAGTTAGTCTTCCAGTAATGACCAAAATTGGCTTAACTCTATGGAAATTAATTTATACTGTTAAAATATCAGACTCTGAAGCTGCTGCACAGTACAGTAGTCTTAAGTGCATATTCAACATGACTCAGTCTAAGGTGACAATAAAGTTGTAGAGTTAATAATGGTAAATGAATCTGACTTCTTTGAACAAACTATTTTTTGACATTTATCCATTTCGTATCTTCTGAAATAATTTACCTTAAATGTTGTAATGTCGTTATTTACATAAACTTAATACTGTAATATATTTATTTTGGGGGTAATTTTTGTAATATTTTATTACTAATATGGTTTATTATATTACCATAAATACTTCAACAAATGTTTTAATTAACCCTTAACTGGCAGCTAAGGATTCCCTGCTCCCTCTCATATGCACAAACATGAAACACAAGGATCATGAAACTTCCACAGTGATGACTGCCGTCCACACAGCTAAAATCTTCTAATAATGGCTGCTGTGTAAGGGTTAAGAGTTTTAACATTTTACCATATGTTTTTATGTTTGTTTTTTAATTTGTTTTTGTTGTAGGTGAATATTGGACCATACAAAGAGACAAAGATCAGAGCATATGGTCCTGGACTGAAGGGTGGCGTGGTGGGCTACCCGGCGCTCTTCACCGTCGAGACAAATGGGGAAGCTGGAGGCCTTGGTAAGCTACACTTTGATGTGTAATAGGAGACTGAAGATCTGGTTGTGGGCCGATTGAATAAAATTAGAAGGTGTTGAATTTCAAGGGTGTGTTAAGTCCGAGGATGTGTTATTAGTGAAGTGGAAGACCAGTAACAATGGAAGGATAGGGTGAGAGATCCACAGGGCAGGAAGGGAATGGATGCCCAAGAAGCAGCAATGTGAGTGATTGGCTGAAAAGCTTGGTGCTGAGTGGCTTTTGGTAGTGGATGTGTCACTGATGGAGGATTCTGAGTTATGTGAAGCAACAGGAGTAAATCAAATGGATGTCTTGGGGCCTTTTTCTGGAAGAGGAACACCATAGTAGGAGACTTTAGTTGAAGTAAAGTCGTTAGAGAATTAATGACAATGAAGCACAAGGAGAGTCTGTGCTTGAGTCTGGCCACCAAATATTGTACTGGGGAAGAGAGTGATAATGATAGTGATGTATGGTACCAGGAAATATGACAATAAGATGTTGTCTTTCCCAGGGTTCAGCATTGAAGGGCCATCTCAAGCAAA